GCAGTATTCTGCATTGGCTGTATAATGTACTGTTGCTGAGTTTTGTAGTCCTCTATAGCTAGTGATATTCGGCATTGCACCACTGTATAATGTACTATTGCTGGGATTTGTTGTGCTCCTCTATAGCTGGTGGAATTCCGCATGGCGCTGTATAATGTACTATTGCTGGGATTTGTTGTGCTCCTCTATAGCTGGTGGAATTCCGCATGGCGCTGTATAATGACTGCACTTTGGGTCGGCCATACATGCTGAGCATGTTCGGCCGACGAGAAGCCACCCGATGTATGGCTGATTTCAGCCGATGTAGGGCTGATTTCAGCCGATATACGGCTGAAATCAGCCGTACCAGCCTGAAGTGAATAGCCGAACAGCGTTCGGCTCACTTCAGGTCGGTCTTTCGCCCAGCTGTCAGAAGCAGGCTGTCGGCCGGCCGCTCAGCCAGCTTCGGCTTTCAGCACGGCTCAGCTGACTTGAGGCATATGCCTTCGGCTCGACTGAGCCGCTCGGCTAAGTTCGGGAGCTGTACGGGCTTTTGTGAATAGCCCCTACAGCAGCCCTTCGGTTCTACTGCACCGAAGGGGTCCTGGGGCCGAAGCTAGCCGAAGGATCGGAAAAAAGCTACGGCTAGATCCTTCGGCTGCTTCGTGAATAGACCCCTGTGTTAAAAGGGACCCCCACCTGTCGCTGAGTAAAGAGGCACTCCGACACATTATTGTTTTTTTATTTGTAATATTCAGAATATTTTATTTAGGTAAATATTAGATGACTAAATATGAATATTACATTGTCTTTAATTCATCCAGTGAGATTACCTCATGACGTTTGCAATGAAAATTACATAAAAACCCCAGAGAGTTAAATATTTCCTGAAAGCACAGACCCTGTAGAATAAAATAACAACAGCTGTAAATTTTTACATTGCATGATATTATCACAACTTTATCAAAACCAAAATTTCTGTAAAAATTAAACCTTATGTTAACTTGAGTGCCCAGATACAGAATATAAACACCAATTTTTGTAAAATATAAAAGATGAGGTCATGCAGAGTAAAAAGATACCCAACATGCCAAGCCTAAAAATTGCTTGTGCGTAAGTGAAGTGGCAACAAAATACGGTACCCTAAACTGTCCATGGGCAACGCTTTAAAAGTATATAAAGGTCATGAGTTTAGAGTTAACTGTGAATATAAGCCCTAGAATTATTGCTTTCACTCTGGCCCATGCAGCAATACCGAACATGTGGAGCACAAATTACTTGTTTACGTTACTCTGCGTGCATTCATGAAGGATGTTACATTTGGTTTTGTATTTTTAAATTTATTTTATTTTTTACCCCTAGTATCACCTTTCCACTGCATAGCTATTCAAGTGCAGATTAATGGAGAACAATGAGGCGAGTGCTTTTCCCTCATCCTCATAGTTTTAACCGACCTGTGACAATGAAACTGTCACAGGTCGGCTCAGTAGATCGGGAGGTGAGCGAACACATACCGGCGTTTGCTCACTTCTCGATCCTGTCAGGGAAGGGACTGGATTCCCCCCTCCTCCAGCGCTTACTGGTGGAACGGATGGGGGAGGGGCGGGTACAGCTGGCTCTGCCTCTAGACAGAGCAGAGCCAGCTGTCACTCACGCAGCTGGGCGGATCCAGACATAATTGTCGGGATCCGTTTCAGCTGCGGCGTCTCAGTATACCGCGAGCTGTAGCTTGCAGTATACTGAGCTTAGGGTGACGGGAGGATGCTAGTTTGTGTCCTCCCGTTACCCTAAGGAGAACTATGGGGAAAAGCCCTAACCCCATATTTCTCCTTTAAACTTTCATAGCTTCTTTCTCTGCTTCTCTACCCGGGGAATTACATCTGAGGAACTGGAAGTGATGCAATCAACGGCGCTTCTGGCCCCATTCAGCGGGTAGAAGATTGATAAACAGATGTTTGCCTGGTCTCTCAGCCCTCTCCACACCGACAACTGATATGCTGGGCATGGGCCAGCAAATTACTAAGTGGTTTACAAAATCTGATATTCACCTCAAAGTCTCAAATGGGAGATCTGTACACTGTAACGGAATTGATTTACTAAAGGAATAGTTTATGTTCACTATGTAAACTATATATTTACTTAGCTTAGTGAATGAGTTGAAGATATATTCAACTCTATTATGCAATAATGTGAAAGAAAACAAAATGTGTTTTAAAATTCCCCTCCTTATTGGGCAATCAAAGTGAACAATGCTCCACCTTATTTAATAAGCTAGGTGACCATATGTGAAGACCTGCTCATCAGTTTATGGGTTATATATGTATTATTGTTGGGTTATTTAGAAGTATGTTATACCGGGTAACCTGTTTATCAAAAGACTGTCAGCACTAGCCTGTTAGCTCTCTTTGTATTTCCAAGGAGCTCAGGACAATTATATTCTCCTACCGGTGCATCTAGCCAAGACCCCTGCTGCGGCCGTCTGGAGCCCTTGGAAAGCTAGATCCCGGCAGGGATGGAGAGTCAGGATGTCTGGGGAGGGCAGGGTGCAAGTGTAGAGCTGCAGCTAACGATTATTTTCAAAATCGATTAGTTAGCCGATTATTACGTTCGATTAATCGGTTAAACAATAAAATACATTTTAAAAAATTGCTCCAGTGATGGACTACTAGTTTGTATTGAGATTGTAGTCCATCACAGGAGCCAGCTTTGGAGCAGTGGAAGTAAAAAAAAAAGTGTGGTGTGCAATATAGTGAAATGGAAAGTTTAAAATTATATAGCAATCAATGCAGAATGGCAGCGGCTATAGAGGACTACAAATACCAGCAATAGTACATTATACAGCGCAATGCAGAATATCACCAGCTATAGAGGAGCACAATAAATCCCAGCAATAGTACATTATAGCTGGCAGTATTCTGCATTGGCTGTATAATGTACTGTTGCTGAGTTTTGTAGTCCTCTATAGCTAGTGATATTCGGCATTGCACCACTGTATAATGTACTATTGCTGGGATTTGTTGTGCTCCTCTATAGCTGGTGGAATTCCGCATGGCGCTGTATAATGTACTATTGCTGGGATTTGTTGTGCTCCTCTATAGCTGGTGGAATTCCGCATGGCGCTGTATAATGTATTATTGCTGGGATTTGTAGTCCTCTGTACAGCGCAGTGCAGAATATCACCAACTATAGAGGAGTACAACAAATCCCAGCAATACATTATACATACAGTGTATATTAGTTGTTGCAGCCCTATGCACGTGATGTGATTACAATCTTATCTGATCACTTTGTGTATAAAAGGTTGCACAGTTGTTCAATAAAGCAGTTTGTTTCACCCTACACTTGGTTTCGGCTAGTGACTGGGTGGACTAGAAGCTAATGATCGTCATGTTGCAGTATCTCCTCAGCAAGTAAGAATACAACGACGGACTTACTCATCCTGAGTAGCGGAGCCTGACACATTGGTGACAAGTGATGGGATGCTCTTTCTTGCATAGGAGACATTCAAACCACCACCGGGACCCTATCCTCATCATCGGATGAGAGGCCGCCCAGCCATGAATGGAACAGCAGTACGACAAGCTCAAGAGGTCCACGTTGAAGAACTTACTGGAAGCCCGGGGAAAAGTCACCAGCAACAAGCCCAAAGCCGCTATCATTGCTGAGCTGATGGAGGGTGACTGTTAAACAGGTTACACAGTATAGCATACTTATCAAAAGACTGTCAGCACCACCTCCCCTTTAGCTCCCTTTGTACTCTCAAGGAGCTCGGTACAATGACATTCTCCTGTATGTGCGTTTAGCCAGACCCCGGCTGTGGCTATCTGGAGCTCATGGGTGGGGATGTAGTCAGGATGTATGGGGAGGGCAGGGTGTATGTTAAGTGATTACAATCTTTTCTGATCACTTTGTGTATAAAAAAGGTTGCTCAATAAAGCAGTTTGTTTCACCCTACACTCGGTTTCGGCTAGTGACTGGTTGCTAATGATCATCGGGTTGCAGCATCTACTCAGCAAGGAACAATATAGCGACGGACTTACTCATCCTGAGTAGTGGAGCACGTCACACCATAGACTTTGCTAAGTCAACCCTAATGTGTCTTTAACAGACTTGTGTTTATGGCATCAGCACAGCCTTTGGCCTATTCACACTTGCGAATGAGGCCAATCTCTTGTGTCTTGTGAATTCCTTCTGTGAATCATGCAATCCCTGGCAGGTGAGAAGGGCTGTACAATTTAATAAGTTGTTACCACCCACAGCCATTTGTGGCCATTCACTTAATCACATATGCTGTGATTAGCTATGATGATCACACCTGGAGGAAGCTGATCACCGAAGTCTCAGGGAGGAATTTGTGAGGCTTGTGGGATTGGCCCCATTTTCAAATGTGAATGCGGTCTAACAGATACAAGCAGATATTTCTATAATGTGAAATGTATCACTTTCAGAATCTAGATAGGGCTTATCTCCTAGGTGATTCCTCCAGTGTACAATGGAATTTATTTTTTAAATTAAAGTGATATTAAAGTCAAAAGGGTTTCAAGATTTTTCAAATGCTGATGAAATCTCTTACAATGGATGCTGCTCCCTGATGTTTTAAAAGTCTTAGTTTTCTACAGAATCAGCTGATCCCATAAACACTTGTCCTGTCTTCCTGTTTTAGAGTGACTCCTTTCTCATACAGAGAGCTATGTAGTCACCCTTGTGTTTTCTGGTAAGCCGTTTGTGTCTTCTCAAACAAACAAAGCAAATCAAGCTACCCCCTTAACCCCACTCCTCTAAGCTAGTAGATGAACGGTTGCTGTAGTCTGTCCTTTGTGATCTTGTACTGGACAAGAATTCGGGGAAGCTGAGAGACATGGACATATTCAGAAACATGATGATTGTTTGGGCAAAAATGTAAAGCAATTATTTGCTGGGCAATGTATATTTGTTTGATCTGGATCCATTATTGAAAAAGTTTGAGAGTTTAATACTACTTTAAGTACTTTCTACGTTCAGAGCATCCAAACAACTTGTGTTTAATGGTGGATCTTCTGGTGACTTATAAGAGATACCTTTTCTGCGTAGCCCTTGCCACAAACTGGGCATTTAAATGGTTTCACTCCAGTGTGAGTCCTCAAGTGAACAGTAAGCTGCGTCTTCAACCTGAAACATTTGTTACATTCTGAACACCTGTATGGTTTCTCTCCTGTGTGCATCCTCTGGTGTGCCTTAAGTTTGCTCTTTTCTGAGAAGCACTTGTCACATTCTGAACACCTGTATGGTCTCTCTCCTGTGTGTATCCTCTGGTGTACCTCAAGTGCGCTCTTTTGTGGGAAGCACTTGTCACATTCTAAACATCTAAATAGATTCTCTCCTGTGTGGAACCTCTGATGTTCAACAAAGCTTTCCTTAGTTATGAAGCTCTTATAACATTCTGAGCATTTAAATGGTCTTTCTCCAGTGTGAGTCCTCTGGTGTCCCATAAGCGTTGCCCTCAATGTAAAACCTTTTTCACATTCAGAGCACTTAAATGGCTTCTCTCCAGTGTGACCCATCTGGTGTCTCATAAGATTTCCCTTCGATGTAAAACACTTTTCACATTCAGAGCACTTAAATGGCTTCTCTCCAGTGTGACTCATCTGGTGTCTCATAAGCCTTGCCATCGATGTAAAACCCTTTTCACATTCAGGGCACTTAAATGGCTTCTCTCCAGTGTGACTCATCTGGTGCTCAATAAGACTTTCCTTCGATGTAAAACGCTTTTCACATTCAGAGCACCTAAATTGCTTCTTTCCAGTGTGAGTCCTCTGGTGTTTCATAAGATTTCCCTTCAATGTAAAACACTTTTCACATTCAGAGCACTTAAATGGCTTCTCTACAGAGTGACTCGTGTGGTGGTTCATAAGACTTCCCTTCGATGTAAAACCCTTGTCACATTCAGAGCACTTAAATGGCTTCACCCCAGTGTGAACCATCTGGTGTTGAGTAAGATTTCCCTTCGATGTAAAACCCTTGTCACATTCAGAGCACTTAAATGGCTTCACCCCAGTGTGAACCATCTGGTGTTTCATAAATTTTGCCATCGATGTAAAACCCTTTTCACATTCAGAGCAGTCAAATGGCTTCTCTCCAGTGTGACTCATCTGATGTTGAGTAAGAGTTCCCTTCGATGTAAAACCCTTTTTACATTCAGAACACTTAAATGGCTTATCTCCAGTGTGAGTCCACTGGTGTTGAATAAAATTTACCTTAAATGAAAAACTCTTGTCACATTCACAGCACTTATATGGTTTCTCTCCTGTAGGACTCCCCTGGTGTTCAGTAAGATGCGTCTCATGTTTTAAGCTCTCCGCAAATTGTCTCTCTTCATTAGGAATCATCTGCTGAACTATTAAAAATGCGTTTGTAATGAAAATGTCCTGACACTTCAAATTCTCATGTGTCATGTCTCCGCTGGTTTCCATTATGTGCTAAAGTATACAGACTTAGTAGTAGCAGAATGATTTCAGACTGCTTACATCCAAAATTGAAGAATTATGGTGGATTCCTGAAAAATATAGAAATAAATTATTATAGAATTGTAGAACAACAAATAAAGACTGACCTCAGAATTTAATACATTTTGGAGTTTTACATCAGAATTGTGTCTTCAGACAGTTTGCAGTTTAAATGATTAGACAGAAAATATAAACATCAATAACTGAAAACAGGTTTGTCTTTTCCGAGTGGAGAATCTTTGTACTCCGCTGAATGACGTATCTTTTACGCCAAACAGGAACATTGGCATTCTATAAGCATTTCCCTTTCAGGAGTCCAGTGGCAATAGTAAAAGCCCCATGGTAATTGGGGAGGTAGCTGTACACATGACTTCACTGTATGGAAGCCCTAATTACACAAGTATTACCTATTAACATACGGGTAATACGGGGTACATCCATGGCATTGGATTTACAAAGCATTAGAGGTTTTCTAGATAGTTTAAAGTGACATTAAACCCTCAGATTTTTTAACATAAAACAATACTGTAATGTGCGCCTTACTGTAATCCATGGTTGTTTCCCTTCTCTTTGATGCTCTTCCTTTTAAATCTGTATCTGTTCTCATGCTTGGAGAGAACTTCCCTTTTCAGCAGACTGCCTTGTCTCACACGGTGTCTGTGTATCCGTTTGTATAGGCTGTAACCTGAGCCAGCACTACAGGAAGAGGCCCTGAGCTGAAAAGGGAAGTTCTCTCCAAGCATGAGAACAGAGCATCAAAGAGAAGGGAAACAACCATGGATTACAGTAAGTCACACATTACACTATTGTTTATGTTAAAAAATCTGAGGGTTTAATGTCACTTTAAAGCAGAACGTTTTCCATTTCCACTATTCCGTCTCTGATTGAAAAGTCAGATTTACTTATCTGAAACAAAATAGAGCCTTGAAAACTTGTATAAAGAGACAAAAGCTTCAGGTGCTGGTTGTATATAGAAATGGATATTATTTTAAATTCATAGTTCCTCCTCCAATGTCTATATCACTACTTCTTCCTGTAGTGACATAGGGGCTAACTGTAAAACTATGGCAGCCAGCGGGGCACATGCTATCTGGCATACACCAAAGTGTCCGATAGCAGTCTAACTCTGCAAGAGATTGAGGGTTCCTTTATGCTGCCTTCCAACCTTTTTTAGCCATAGTTCTCTTTAGGGTTGTCAGAGCACAATGAAAACCAGACAAGCGAAAGGTGCTAGTTAAAATATTTATTAAGAACAGTGTCCACAGGAACAAGCAGAATCATAAACCGGAACAAGGCAGAGTCAGGAGCCAGAGTGGGTAGTCGTCCAAGCCAGGTCAGGAACACAGAGATCAGCGTCGTCAGGAACAAGCCAGGAACAGGAGCCAGGAAATCAGCGTTGTCAGGAACAAGCCAGGAGCAGGAGCCAGGATCGGGTCATACACAGAATCAGGATACACAGAGAAGCAGGAATGCACTAGCAGGAAAGACCATGCCAGGGCAAGGTCAGACTGGACTGATTGGTTTATATATAGTGTGTTGGGTGACACCGTCACTCATAGATAGGCAACTCCCATCTGACTCTGTCAGATGATACTCTCCTGTCTGGCCATAAGAGGGAGTCTGGGAGTAGTGAGCAACATTCCAGAGTCTGCTCAGGCAAAGAAGGAAACACAGGTGAGTAAAATGGCAGCCAAGCCAGAATGCTGCAAACCAGTGAAGTCAGGGTGGAACCCTGACAAGGGTCACAGGAGGACATTTACTACGGCTACAACTAAGGCCCATTTTGGAGGCTGAAACATGTAAGCATTTGTTTGTTTGCTGCTGTTATGCCTTTTTGCAAATAAAGTACTAGATGGACGGATCCCCTTGCGAGTGTCGTTTTTGTTTACCTATTGCTCAGTGAAGGCTCCGGAGGAAGCTTTACCAAGCACCAAGGTTCAAGCAGTGGGATTGGAGACGAGAGTAGAGCTGCTCCGTGTTTCTAAACTATTCTGGCAGACTGTTACAAACAAATTTTACTTCAGAATAAAACTACATGCACACTTTTCTGCAATTGCACTGCACTAGAATGTACGGCATTGTGGTACCACACGTTCCAGTGCCAGATATCACATTGTGGGTGGCAGACACGCTTGGGGTGCCACTAAAATGAATGACACAGCAACACACCTCCCGCACCAGAATTTGTCAGGCCGAAACCCAAAATTACTTTTTAACCCACTTCTTTAACAATTGGGGGAGGGTGGCTTTTTTTTTTTTTCTTTTTACAATTTCCAGAGATAAAGTCCAGAGACACAAAGTCTTCAATCTCTTTTTCTGTAGCCCCAGCACTCAATGAACAGGAAGCACTCAGATAGTAAACAGATAATGTGTCCACCATTGTGAATAAACAGGAAGTGATGTAGAGCACTATGGATCACTGTGATGTTGGAATATTGTCCTGCAGCTCTCCTCCCCACACTGCCCTTTTTGGCCTCCTTACAACTTTCTTCTCCCCGTCTGGTGCCAGCAGGTGGATCAGCTTTGTGTCCCCTTCAATGCCCACGGCCTCTGTCGATACAGGAGGGGGAGAGCAGCAGGGATTGGAGGGGACACAGACAACAGCATGCAGAAGGCTCCCAGTGGGAAGGAGAGCTGCAGAGCTTTCCTCCCCACTCCATCCCCGATCAGAGGGGATACAGAGCCAATGAAACACCAACTCCCAGTGTGAAGAAGAAAACTAGAGACCTAGACAAACTAATTGATGAGATTAACGACAATTCTCATTATCGATTAGTTGGCTTCAGCCCTACTTCCTGTTACCCAAAACCTGGTGCCCAGAACAAAATTGCCGAAGCCATGTTCACTGTCCATAGGAGAGTAGGCTTCAAGGAACTAAACTTATGTCAGATCTAGTGCAGTTTCTCTGGTGCACGTGAGGGGTGCAGACCAGTCAGACTTCTCCCTATCATCTCCGAACTGTCTGAACACGTCAACTGCACTTTAATTGCCACGTTGCATGCCTTTGTGGATACAGAAACACACAGGGAACGATACATAACCCATCTCCTCTTCACTTACCGTGAGGCACCCCAGGAATCCACCAGGTTCTCCCCCTTTAAACTATAGTATAGGATGAAGGACTGAGGACCCTTGACATTGCTAAAGAAGTACTTGGAGGAGCAGCTTCAGGACACTGGGGTCCCTGTGGTACCCTATATCTTGGAATTACATAAAAGGTTGAGCAAACTATCAAGCTTCACTGCTAATCCACTCAAAACTGCCCAAACACACCAAAAGACTTGATATGACTGCAAATCTCACACCTGTGAGTTCATAGAGAAGTAAGAGGTGCTTCTGATTTTCCCAACCTCCAACTATAAGCTGCATTCTACCTGGAAAAGGCCATATTGGATTCCTACATAACTGAATGACACCAACTATGTTCTCACATTAGATGACCAAGGGAAGCAGCAAAAACTGTTCAAGAAATACAACAGGAGCCTGTCCAATTTTACATCTGTCCTATATTCTCCGAGGAAGAAGAGGATATCTTACCTGATCTTCTGGAGGTGACCCACAATCAAGCAAACATGAGCCAAGTCCTGCTGGGCCTGCAACTAAACAAGGGACTACAGGATGCCATGCGGTCTGACCTCCACCAGTGCAAGTCTATATTCTCCTCTCTGCCAGGAAGGACTATGTTGGCCACCCATCACGTGGAGACCTGATCTATACCTATTGAGTTCCTGAATCTGTATGAGATTAGAGCTGGGTGAAATTTTACAATTGGGAGTCATCCATCTATCCAGCAACTCATGGGCCTCAGCTGTTGTATTGTTCCCTTAGGCCCCATTCACACTGAGCGACATGAAAATCGCGCGACTTTGAGCGATATTGCGCGACGTATCGCGCGACTTTTTCAATGGAGCTGTGAACAGCTCCATTGAAATGTATTGAAGAAGCTACATAGAGCGATACCACGCGGAAATATGAGCGATAAATCGCTCAGTGTGAACGGGGCCTTAGGGCCTGTTCACATGATTTTCACGTCCTGATCAGGTGCGGATCTGCAGACGCGGTGCTACTCATGCAGTGCGTATTTGGTCCGGATGCTGACAGTACAGGCGGCAATACATTATGTCTGTGGCTAATGCTGCCTGGAGATTCCCAACCCACCCCCCAGTTGTGTCTGCAACTAAATTTTTTCAGTAATGGATGTTGCACAGTCTTGCACACTGTCTGCAGCAGCCAGCTGGCGAGAATAAAGAGGGAGGGGGTTGGTGGGATGTCATATATGGACAGAGGGGACAAGAGCACCATATATTGAGAAGAAAGGGAAATCTACCTGCATAATATTAACCCACACATATGACAAACTTTATTTGGATTACATGGCCATCATACATTGGATAGCATGACAAGCATACAGTTAGTCAACATACAAGATGCATACATTTTTTTTTTGCTTTCCGTTCCGTTTGCGCGTTTCCGGACCCTTTCCTGACCGGACAAAATGTGACGTGCAGTATTTTTTCGGTCATAACCTGAACGCACTGCACACGTGAGAACTGTAGTCCATAAAACACAAAGGGATACATCGGGATGCATTTTTAGTGCAGGAGCGTACGGGTCAGGTCAGCACAGGAAACGGACGTCGTGTGAACAGGCCCTACAAAGTATTTTTGATAGGCTCTAAGCACCCTAATGTTCACGCTGTCAGCAATGTATATCCCATGGCCGGTATCGATGACAGATGAGGAGAAGAACTCTGTTCCTTTTCTTAGCAGGAAGCTACTAGACATGGAGTTGGCCTACACCACCATTGAGAAAGAATGCTTGGCATTGGTATGGGTTCTAAAGAAGTTGCAGCCATATACCTGCTTTGCCGTGACCGTTGTGACCGTCCATAATCCCCATACTTGGGTTGGGTTTTCGGGGATAATGGACACTTACTGCTGTAGAGCCTA